CGAAGAGCTCCTCCAAGGGCCAAGAGTCTCTCTTTCATGACTCTCACTTCCAGGGACACCCGCTTGTCTACCACTGACAAGCCAAATCCTTCACGGTGGAACGAGTCAAAGAGAGCTTTGGCATCTGTAACCATTGTTGGAGCCAAGGAGGATTTGCAGTCCAGCAGGTCCTTGAGCTTCAGCCGCGGATCCTGGAGGCAACTCCAGTACACGCAAACGTGTTCAACAGCATCGCAGGCCTGTACCACCAGCCTGGGCTTCAGCACCCAGAGAAGATCTGGCAACACGCGGTGTCTTTTGACTCCTCCAGTCCACTATGTGGTATGCTCCTTCGGGACCATCAGGCTGAAGAAGGGATTTGTCGATGAGGACAATGATGTATCCCAACTGTGAACTGCTGTCGTTCCGAGTGGCGAATGCAGCATCAAAGAAACATAGAAGACGAAGGTCTTCCACAGAGCCAATGTGCTCATAGGTCAGGCCAATGTCTGAGTTCTCCTTTCCAAACTTCAACAACTTGTTGCACTCGGACAAGGTCTGAGTGGTGGCTCGGGAGACACATCCACTGAGGATTGATGTACTGCCTTGAAGGTGAGGGCTTGACTGCACAGATGGCCATTGCAAAGAGCCAAGTAGAGCTCGAAGTTGGGAGGTGTCCTTCTCAGAGCATGCTTCACTGGCATCTCGACGTTTGTCGATGGTGATTGGTTTCACCTTCTTCATGTAGGTGGACTGTTCGAGCTTGTAGCCTCCGGCTTCGGTGAGCTTCAGGTCACATCCACAATACGAGAGGTCGGAACCGTCCTTGCCAGTCTTCCACTCTCTGAAGTTGAAGGTGTTCTTGAGGCGAGCGATCAGGGAGCGGTAGCAGGATGAGGTCTCAGCACCGCAACCCAGCATGTCGTCAACGTGCATGATGATGATGCCACATAGTCCGCATGGGCCAAACAAATGAGGGTGCTCTTGGTCAAACTTGTAGTCCGGATTCAAGTCCGACTCGTAAGCCAGGAAGCAGCAAGGATCCTGCAGGTGCTGTTTGAGGCCCATGTCGAGCAGTTTGTCCACAGCAGCCATGTACCAGGATCTTGGGGCGTCAATCTGCCCATAGCAGGGTTTCAACAAGAGCATCCGTGTGTCAGGTGTAGCTCCAAGAAGTTGTAAACACTCTGCAGGGAGTTGGACCCAAAGCTTCCGACTTTGTGGTTTGCCCTGAAGAAATGCAGTTGCAATATCTGAAGTCCAAACCGGCCAGGACATAGTTGCAGCCAAGCTCAACAAAATAGAGCGAGACAACCTGGTCGTGGTAGGAGATGAGGTAGGCGCAGTTCCTTCCCAAGCGTCAGGGTCCATGAAGCCACGAACGATGAGTCGGGCTTTCGCCCGAGGAGTTCCGTCTGGGTTCTTCGACCACTTGAGGAGCATCCGGCTTGTCAAAGTCCTGGTGGGTTCAGCTTCTTTTGTGGTCTCGAAGGTCCAAACCTGGTTGTTGAAGAAGGACTGAAGTTCTTTCACCTTAGCTGCCTTGAACTGGGCTCTCTCATCGGGCGTCATGGTTCGCTCCGACAGATTGTTCTTGTCCTTCTTGAAGGCCTTTGCACGGCGCTGCTTGGATATCTTGCCCATTTGCTTTGTGCCAACGAGGGGTTCTTTGGCATACATGGCCAGCTCCTTTCTCACAGGACCGCGAATCTGGAACACGGTCACCCCTGTCCACGATGCGTCAACTGCGGGCAAGCAACATGAGCCGTCATCAGTGAACTATCTGCAGCGACCATTGGTGTCGTAGACCACGGTGACCCGCGCATTGTCCAGTTCTTCGGCTGGGAAGGGCGAATCTCGTGGTAGATGCTGAAGGCTCATCTTCTGGCGGCGAGGAACCACATGATGCCGGATCAAGCAGCCAGCCTTGACTTCCCAATGATCCATCGGGTGCTTGTCCAGCTGGAAGTATCCATCTTCAAAGTTCCAGCCTTTGGGCAGGCAGTTCGCTGTGATCTCGGAGATCGTAAAGGCTTGAGAGAGCAGTGCAGCATCACGATCTTGTTCAGCTTGCGGTGAAGAGAGAGGCTCAGATGATGACAGAGTTCTTGGGTGGTCTGCTGTCTCATATGGAGTTGAATCTCGTCGTCCTTGATGTCGCCAAGGTCCAAAGCTGATTGTCTGTCTGTTGAAACGGTTGCGACGCTCCTGAAAGGACTCACCATCCACAGGCTCATAGAGAGCAGCTGTCTCGGGATCCAGCTCTGCTGAAGGTTGTTCTCCATGATGCGGTGTCGGCACAGCAGGCTCGGAGGTTGTGATCTGGAACGTCGACGCTGGAGAGGTCGGTAACGACAGTGGTACAGGAATCTGAGCAGCATTTTCCTCAGGTGGCACGGCCATTGTCTGCTCCTGCTCGACCAGCGGAGGCGCCATCAATCCAGTTGGCGACGTAGGAGCATAGCCAGAATGAGCAGGCGAGGTCGGAGAGTAGTCATCCGCAGGGATGTCAACCATTGGTTCAACACCTTCAGTTGGTGGATGAAGGTGGAGGCGATGAGCTGGTGGTGGCGCTACTTCATCTTCGTCCAGTGGTCCACCGGGGTCATCAATCTGCTCATCTTCGTCGACATCATCCAGCCTCTGTCGGTTGACACGCTGGAGATCATACCACCTTGTCACACCACGTGACTTGAGCTGCCTCACCATGTTGAGTGATTTCTGCAGGTCGTCAATCACACGCTCAGGGCCAAGGATGTCTCCGCGAACATGATGTGGTGCAGCACGAATCAACTGGGTCTTGTAGGCAAGCCAGTAGGTCTTGATGGTGGGCTTACGCGAGTCAGGGTACTCCTCTCTCATGATGACGTGTGCAGGACCCAACCAACGTATCTTGTTCAGCAAGCCCTGGCGAGCATCTCTCCAGAACCACACACGTTCACCCAGCTTGAATTCCTTGTTCTGTCCTTGGTAGCGACGTCCGAGAGCTCGTCGAAGTTTGCTGTCAGCATCAGCGGTGGTCAAAGCAATCTTGGCAGCTGCGCGGCGCTCAAGGTTGTTCTCGAAGGGTCTCATTGGTGCCAACAAGCTGAGCGGGATTGAGGTTGCTGTCCATCAAGTGTGAGAGCTCCGGTTGATACGCAAGGACCCATTGAGACGGTGAAAAACCAGCAACGGATGGAGTGCCATTCTGCTGAGGAATGATGTGAGTGATCGCCGCACGGATTCCTTTCTTGTTGGTCAGCTTTCTGTCGTTAAGGTAGATCTCGATGGCTTTCCTCAGAACAGCATGTCTGCGCTCCACGAGGGCCAGACGCTCGCGGGCTTCTCCGGGGGCGACTTGGTGTTCGATACCCCAGGAGGTGGACCAGGTGTCCATTTCGCCGCCCAGCCAGGATCTGCCTTCATCAGTCACCAGAGTCTTCGGGGGGCCAAAGTGTCGAAGCCACATTTTCTCCACATGCCTGCAGGATCATCTTCATAGCCTTCATGGTCATCACCATAGTCCTCCTCACCAAAGTAGGCGGCGTCATCATCGAAGGCGGTGTCCTCATAGTCAGGCATGTAGGTCTCATCAGCCTCAGGCCAATCTTCCTCGTAGTAAACCTCCTCCCAGGTCTGGTCAGGGGCTTCTTCATCATAGGCTGCATAGCCACGACCTTTCCATCGTTGAGGACGTCGATCATTGGTCCAGCCACCGGCCTTATAGTCTTGGCCATAGAGGCGAAACAGGGCTTCCACAACATTTGCTTTCTCCAACGTAGGGGCTTTCAAGGTCACCATTTGGCGTTGTTCACGGGTCAGGCCAGAGCGCTTGAGCAAATGCCATCCTTGCACTTGGCTAGGAAGGGTGATCTTGTGACCAGTGATCTTGCGATAGGCCTCATCGTGGTCGGTCACAAAGGCCAGCAAGCTCTGTTGATGCTTGCGCTGCAAGTTCGTGAAGTAGTTCTCAAAGTCGCTCGGGAGGAGGACGCGGTCGTCATACTCAAAGTTGCGATCGAGGCGAGCCAACACTTTGGAAAAGGCGTCCTCCTTCTCGCAGTCCTCAACCGGGAAGTCTTCGAAAAGACGCCAGACAACTCCCGAGAACGATCCTAAAATGTTCAGGACAGCCTCGCCTCCTCTCTTGCTCAAGAGCATCTTCTTGTGATAGAGCATCAGCCGCTTTCTGTACTCGCGGTACTCAGTGGGCTGTCCATTGAAGAGGGGCACAAAGGAGTCGCGCAGATTCTGGAATTCCGCAGCTTGTGCCTCTGCTGCCTGCGTCGGTGGTGGCATAGAAGAGGTCCCTCAACCAAAGAGCAACGATCCGAGGCCAGTCAGGTGCTCGGCAGAGGGTTGGTGACGTAGGTCTTATGCAGAGCCTCGTGCTGGAAGACGCGTAGTCCCGGAGCAACAGCTCCGCTACCAATGCGAAGAAATGTATAGTCGCACTCGAGGTCGACAAACCAAAGCGAGACAAGCGCAGCCGGAACGCCGCGCACCGCGAAGCCTTTTCGCGAGCAGTGACCCACCCGCCTTGAGGTCACAAGTGCGGCGGATTCGAAAATCATGTTCCTGAACAGTTGGCGGCGAACGACGGACTGGTTCCTGCCCTGTGAACAGCGTTCACTTCACATGTAATATTAAATATTAATATATATAGGATAAGATATGCGTGGCTTAACCTTTCAGACAAGCATATGGCTGTTCACTGTGGACATTACCACAACCTCCCGGCAACTCCACCTCAGCTTTTACATAAAGATTGAAATGGAAACTCAAGAAGACAAGCGCACTACAATCCCAAAATCATGAAAGCCCGCAAGAGAAGAGAAGGCTCGGACAAAAGCAAGCTGGACCAAAACAGGAAAGGGGAAGGGAAAGGAGACACTGACACATTCAGGCTGGTGTCCCTCTACAAGCGAACAGAGCCCTGCTATGCTCAAAGAGTTGAAAACTCAGACAACCTGAACCACTGAAACAAACAAACAAAATTGTTGAACCAGCAACAATTAACAAAAATAAGGAGTCTGCGCCTCATCAAACTGGCCAGAACCAGCGTGACCAGCCTCATGCCTTGGAGAGTGGTAGATGCACAAGGCGTTTGAGGTGAAAGCCTCTTGTAATTTCAGATCAATACACTTGTTCTCCCTCCCTCCCTCCCTCCCTCTTTTATTTTATCTTTCTGTTTTTCTCGTTTTCTCTGTTTTCTCTTCGTTTTTCTCTCTCTCTCTCTCCCTCCCCCTCTCTCCGGCTCGCCTTCCACTGTTTCCGCGCCTGCCAGACTTTCTCTCCTGCTTCGCAACTGAAATTGCAGGACAATAATCAAAAGACATGAGACTAAATACATACTACAGTACATGTTACTTGCAGAAGGATGTGGAAGGGCCTGTGTAGCGGTTTGGTAACAACAGACTGATGATGAACGAATTACTGTATGCGAAAACAAATGAGCGCCCCTTTTCTAAGCTCACTTTGGGCCTGCAGTGCGCGGTACATGACTTGTGTGGTGCATACCTAGCCAGTTGTAATGCTCACATCTCTTAATCCTAGCGCCCCCCTTATGGCTAGTGGTATGCACCAACTGCATGGTTTGACTGTACGTCGTTGGCCTGCATGTTTGCAGCCAAATGCATGGTAACAATCACCATGTTGGGAAACTGTCCATTCAAACCCTTCGACTTTGCGTCGAACTCTTGCCATCTCATTTCTCACATGCTTTTGAGCTTCATCGCGCATCTGGACAGCTTTTGCCATCATCTCTTCTGCTTTCGCCATCATGGCCTCTGCTTTCACCTTTGATTCTTCACCTCTCGCACGCCAGCCAGTAGCCACGTCAATGGCTTTGGCTGCTTTGTCTTTCTCTTGCTCTGCAATCTCTTTTCACCTTTCTCCACTTCTTGCAGGATCTTTCAACTGCTCGAGCTCATCTCTTGCTTCCTGCAACTCTTCACGAGTTTCTGCCGCTTCTTTTCTTTCTTTCACTTCTTCTCTCAACCTCTCAATCTCTTCTCTCTGCATCATCAATTCGTCCTCCTCTCTCTCAAGGTCACTAAGACCTTTGACAACTTCTTCTTCATGTACTTCGTCTCCTGCTCGTCATTGACCTCCGGCTCATCGTTCTTGTTGAACCACTCATGGATCCATGCCCTCACAGCCTGACATAGGCTCAAGGCCCCGAGAGTTGCCAGTACGATTGTGAAGGCAAACACCCACATGAAGCTTCCACTGCTGTCTTCTGATGCCGGTTGGGTCGTCATCACCAGCTCTTCACCTTTGCTTCCTCGCAGTAGTGCCATTGCAATCACCATTGCTACCTTTGCACCACTGCCTTTGAAGGATTTGCCCATTTTCCTCATCTCTTCTTGAGCTGCAATTTCATTGTACTCATCACGGCCGATCTTCTCGTCATTGTCGTCCACCATCGTCATGAGGAACCCTTTCAGACGACTTTTGCTGAGACACTTCGTTCCAGCATCACTTGTGTTGACTGCTGTTGGTACTCCAGTCACCCGAATCGACTTGTCCATGGTCTTCTCCTGCAACCAAAGCATAGCTGCTGCAATGCGCCGGCTTCGTCCAATTCCAACTCTTGTTGCCAGGGCCCTTGCTGCTGATGAATCACTTCTGCACACCAGCAATGCACGTTCACCTGCAATGAACTCCCAACAATGTTGTATGAACAATGCTTCACTGCAACCACCGACCATGCAGATGTATTCGCTCTCTCCGGAACTCAATGAAATGCTCTTCTGACAGCGGACATAGCTCTCCATCATGTTTCCGTTCAAATAAATCTGAACAGAGGACACTGAGCGTCTTGTTGATTGCTGTCCGGCATAGTCCGCATCACAAATCACTTCAAGAAGACTTGTCTTTCCTTCATCTTCCCATTCAAATTGCTCCTCACCTGAATCAACATACAGCATGCTTCGACCTTTGGGCCCTTGTTCCAGCAAAATGCCTTCTCCGATGGTGCCCAACAAATATGAACTCACATGCTTCATGTATTTCCATCCAGCCTTTGTTGGTCGCTGCATCAATGCTGCAAGTCCTTGGGATACGAACTGGATGTCAGGTCGGTCGGGAGCAATGTAAAGCAACTTTCCGACTGCACTCCGGAATCGAGTCACTTCACTCTCCTCCATGGGCTCATCATCTTTTGACAGCTTCGTGAAATTGTGATCTGTCGGTGTAGTCCGGGGTTTGAGCTTCTCCACATGGGTCAACTTTGCTAGCTCCCTGATGTGTTCACTGTCTGCTCGGACTGTGATGCCATTCTCAACAACTTCCATCTTTCTCTTCAAATACTCAAATGCTCCATGTCGAATTGGGCCTTTCTTTTCGAGCTTCCACTTCTTGCTCTCCAAGAACTCGATAAATGAGGCCACTTCCTCTGGGTCACCAATGACCATCAGATCATCGACATGGATTGTCAACAGAAGTCGCTTTCCCACAACATTTGTATCCTTCTTCATCAACGTGGGCTGCATCTTGTCCATCACCAATCCATACTCCTTGGCAGCTCGACAGAAACCATGGAACCACTGAGCTGCTGCATTCCTCTGTCCAGGGAGGTTTCGACGAAGTCGATACTTTCCATGGGGAGTCATGACAATGGCCTTTTCATCTTCAGGCTGCTCCATCAACAAGAATGCATCCTTGACGTCCAAGACATACAAGCTCAGTCCTGTCATCAGCATAAACTGCAGCATCAAACGTACAATGACTGAAGCTGATGTAGGAGCAAATGCATCGTCTGTGAACACACTCCACTTGTACTGCCTTGCCACCAACCGAGGGCGACGGAACCAGCCTGCCTGCTCTTCTCGATTCTTCCATGTCACCACCATCTTTGTCGTCAAGGTATAGGAGCCAGGCTCATCCGGATCATCCGGAACAAGACGTTCAAGAACTCCCATCTTCATCAGTCGCTCCTCTTCGTGCTTGGTGGCTTCATCATCGAGTTTTGCGAGCTCATCTTCTGTCATGTCTGGTGGCCTTTCTTTTCCACTTTGATCCTGGATCTCTTCATCGCTGTCGACATTCAGCTCAGCCTGCAAAAGCTCCTCCGCCAACAAACTGTCTCCTCCAGGATGTGTTTCATGGATTGACCTCAATCGTTTTGGACTGGGCTCATCAACCTCATCAGGGATCTGGATCACAGCTGGCCTTTTGATTTGTGACCCACTGCTAAAGGCTCCTTCCCTTTCTCCACCAGCCCATTTCCAAATGGTATCCTTCTCAGTCCTCCTCATCTTTGATGGACTCTCTTCAACACTCACACGAGGACTTTCCTTCCTGGCATCCTTCATGAACGGCAACATCGTCTGCTTTGCTGTAGACTTGCTTTTGGGAACCGGTGCAACTGCCGATAGTGTTCCCGGCGCTGCCGATGGCGCCATTCCTGGTGTCCTCGATGCTGGGATTGGTGTCCTTGGAGCCGGGACTGGTGTCCTTGGTGCCGGGATTCCGGATGTGGGCACTGGTGTCTTCGGTGCAGGGATTCCTGGTGTCCCTCTTGGAGTCTTTGGTGCTGGAACTCCACCTGGAGTTGGTGGAACAGGAGTCTGCGAGCCCTGCATAGGAAGAGGTGTGATGTAGCCCGGATTCATTCCGTAAAGACCCATTGCCACACCTTCACCTGTCTTCTTGGCTTCCTCCTCCAACACCTCTTCATTTCCTTCAGCTTCTTCTTCAGCATCTGCTTTCCTGGTCCGTGCTGCAAACTTGCTCCTCATCAACAATCCTTGAACGCTGTATTGCCATGGAACTCCACGAGCTGCGATCAACAGCTTGCCATCGAACTGTTCCGGCAGTCTCCGGATGCTTCGGGCCTCCACTGCTCCACTTCGAGTGAGCAAGATATGGCTGTCTGACCAGGATGACTTGCCAACCCAGATGCCTCTTCTGTAAACAGGTTCTCCCTTCCACTTGGCCCTCATTGTATCTTTGAAAAGAACTGCCTCTCCAAAGATCACCACCTTTCCGTTGTACTTCCGGTCATTCATCACCTCAAAGCTTGTGGCTCCATTGATGACTCTGTATCTTGTCATCAGCCATGCCGCATGCCGGAAGCTCCACGGAAAAACGTGGTGTAGGCCTGTGATCTTCACACCTGCTTTCTCCTCCGCAAAACTCCTCAGGGTATTGGCAAGCTTTCTCACAGATTGCACTGTCTTCTCAGCCTGACCGTTGCTTGCATGCTGTCCAGCTCCTGTTGCTCTGATCTCTGTGGCCATACCTAATACAGCTCGAGCATGTTGAACTGCTCGCATCACTTGCTTTGTGGCTGGCTCACCATCTGCCTGCAGGATAACTGGATTGGCATTGGCCACTGACATAGTGAATCTCAACAATTCTTCTGTCACTCGACTGAGAGATGCACTGCCTTTTGCAACAACTGGGATGCACATCACTGCTTTGGTCTCTGAATCCGCTGCATACAATGCTGTGCCCAACCGTCGTTCTTCTCCTGCTCCTTCAGTAAACGTGAACCCATAGTCAAATGAGATCACCTGCTTTCCACGATCTCTGCGATCTCCTCGAGCTTCATTTGGCCTTGCATCCTCTCTTGCTCTGTTCATGACACATTGCATGCACCAATCTTGGTAAGGGAGATGAGTGAGAAGATGCAACTCCTGCTCATGCCTGGTGGGCAACTTTGGAGTCTTGATCGGGATGGCCTCACGTCGACTTTCAGCATAAAGCCTCTTTGCACTTTCAAAGGCAATGCGCTCCTCCTCACGATGCTTGTACTTCTGTAGCCGGGCCAACAGCTTTGCCTTGGAACCTGAGGTAGCCAGCCCAAGCATGTTGCACTTCTCCTGCAACTTCTTCAATGTATTGGCCATGGTCACAACCTCCTCATCTATCTGAACTTCAATCTCCTGAGGGTCAGCAAATAGTACCTCCTCTCGAACTTCTGGCTGCTCTCCACTTTCAGCTGCCAACGTGGGGATCTCGCCACCTTCACGATCGACCTCCTCGTCCTCAGGCCACGAAGGTGACTCTCCATCCAGCAACGGATACTGACTCACTGGCACTTCACAATCAGGACCAAAATAGTCTCGAATCCTGTTCGTTGCAATGAACGTCAAAATCTTTCTTGGTCCTTGAGGCAACAGCTGAAATGGTGCTGGAGAGCTTCTGTAGTCAACCAATGATTCGACTTGCTGCCATTGACTTCCTTTCCGATCTTTGATCAACGTCATCCGGGAGGTCCATTCGTCACCAAATGCTGACCTGGGATCATGAAAATGCATAGCATTGGGATTGGAGTGGACCATGATCCCGTTCGGCAGAATGTGCCAGCCTGGAACACTCTCTAGCATGGCTAGTTCCCTGGAAATAAATCCACGAAGTTCTGGACAGGCTCTTGCTGGTGCGATGATGTTGGCTGAAAATGGAATCCAAGGTCTGTTCACAAACTTTGGCTGGCCTTCCACAATCACACCTTGGCACATTTCTCCCACGCCATGACTGTCCTCTGGGCTCAACTCAATGGGCTCCTTCTTCACGGGTTGAAGCTTCTTATTCCACCTGGCCAATCGACTCTGTACTCGTCCATCACTGCTCTCATCATCATGCACCTGCTGAACAGTGTCTTCCGAGGTGTAGCCGGGCGTGACGTCTCCTTTTGACATCTTCTCTGCACGCTCAACTTCTGGACTCTCAACTTTCTCCTCTCGAGCTTCATCCTTTCTCTCTTCTCCTGATCCTGCTACTTCTGGGGGCATTTCACCATCCTTCTCTTCCATGATGACATCTTCGTCCTCCTCCGAACGAACTGCGCACACTTGCACCTCCATCACCAACGAGTTCCTCTCGAGCCTCGCTGGAATTTGAAGGCCTCGTTCATGGTGCTCTAGCTGAAGTTCATCTTGATCTCGCGAAAGCACCCATCCTTGTCTCAAAAGGCGACCAAGGGACAGCAAAGGGTGTGTCACACCTTGGCCAAGAGCAAATTGCTCAACAAATTCCACATTGACTGAATTCGTTCGCCCTGAGCATCCACCATATGCATAGGTCTTGCTGTTCCGGGCAGTCCCAAAGCACCAAAGTTCTCTGGTGCCACGCTCACGTCTGCTCCTGAGTCTAACGTCACCACTACGGTGGGCATTGGGCTCTGTACCATGCAAATCTTCTCCTTCTCAACCTTCTCATCTGGGCAGCTGGTCAGGTCAAAAGTACTGCAACCTGTCTTTCCAACTTCAACTTCAATGGGCTCCTCACAATCATAGAAGACCTCGTCGTCCTCCTCAATCACCTTGATGGCCAACACTTCATAGGCCTCCTGCCACGCGTCGTCGTCCTCAACGCCTTCTTCATCACCCTCCGTGAGGTCGAAAATCTCCAAGGTGCTCAAGCCTGTTGGCGTGACCAGTCTCACGCGTCTCACCTGGCGAACTGCCGTCGAAGATGGCGTGGTCGTAGTTGACGCCAAAGAACCTGAGCTCTTCTCTGAGGTAGTGTCCTCCTCAACACGTTGAACCTTCTTTGACCAACACTCTTTTGCAAAATGTCCCATCTTGCCACAATTGTGACATGGTCCTGAGGGCCCTTTTCCTTTCTTGCCAATCGACTTCCCGACTGACTTGCCTTTTCCTTTCTTTCCATCCTTGGACCAGGATTGCTTACCTTTTGACAATTTTCCTTTCTGCCCCTTCTTCCCTTTTCCTTTGCCCTTCTTCCCTTCTTTGCCCGACCAAACCGCATCGACCTCCATCGGTGCTGAGGTGTCAACATCTGCACCTCCAGGTTTGATGGCAAGCTGAGTTCCAGCTTCCGGGACCCACTTCATGGAGACTTGCTCGTACATCTCCACGCGACACCTGAGGTCATCAAACGTGGTGTCGTCCTGTAGGGCCATCTGCACATGAACTCGAAGGGATTGGGGCAAGGCTGCAACCACTGCTGCAACTTTCAAGTCATCGGGGTAGGTGACATTTGCTGCTCGTTCATACTCCCTGACCATGGCTTCATACTGGGGTAACTGCTCTGTAATTGTCTTGCTTGCATCAAACTGAACCCGATTCAATGCTTGTACCAGGGCCAATGCACGCTGCCTAGTCTTGGGCTGAAGATCTCGTGTCAACACTCGCCAACTCTCCAGACCATTCTGTAGTGGGATGCCTCGGACCAACCTCAATGGCCTGTTCTTCATCAAACCTGACAGCAATGAATACAAGCGTTCTGACAAAATGCGCTCTGGGGCCGTCAATGAAGTCATCTCAAAGCGGGTGTCCAACTTTTCTGCTCGTTTCATCAACTGTAAAAGTCCATCATCAATGGCCCCAACAAATGTTTCAAACTGAAAACGCCAGTCACCCCATTTGGTCAGTTCGTCCTGTCGTGTATCTGGTGCGAACAGCTGTGGTGGTTTGTAATGCTTTGCAAATGCATTGCTCTTTTGACTCTCAACTAAACCCTGCAAAGCGGTCACCAGGCTTCTGACATTTCCACCGAGCTCTCCAGCAGTGCCATCACCACCATCTGAACCAGTGGGAGCCGTGGCCATGAGCGCGACCCCAACCAATCGTATCCACTCGGGGATTTTGAGTGGACCTCACCTAATCCCCCAAACTCAAAACCCAAAAGGGATTCCTCTGGAGATGCCCGGGGCTACCGGGCAGAGCTCCGCTATCATGAAAACAAATGAGCGCCCCTTTTCTAAGCTCACTTTGGGCCTGCAGTGCGCGGTACATGACTTGTGTGGCGCATACCTAGCCAGTTGTAATGCTCACATCTCTTAATCCTAGCAGTATGCCAGTATGCGAAAACGTGACCAGAAATCGAATTCAAATTTGACAAGCGAAGAGCAGAGGATGCTGTCGGGGTGGCAACAAAAAATATCAAGCTCCTGCATTGCAATTGGCCTTTGCAAGTCTGTTTCGTCCCTGACGCGATTTTTCTGATGGTGTTGATTTCTGACGCAAGTTTTCTGTTGCGCAAAACAGCCACCGGCGCAAGACGGATTCACATTGGCGTTCTTGCGCGTGAAAAAGCTGACTGTGACCATCCAAATATACACGCGCCAGTCGTCCCACCCACGGCCAAAAACATGAAACTAAGCAACATTTCTTTCCACAAAATTCCTACATCCGCATGTTCAAGAGTTGCCGCATGGTGGCGCCATCGAAAGGTGCGCAAACATTCATGTTCACCTTGGTCCCGAGTGTGACTACTAGTAGAACAAAAGCGCTTTCTTCACTACAGCCTGCTACAGTAATAGAAAGCTTTAGACTTTGGATTTATCGTTACTCCTTGCGAAAGCGTTTCTTTGTGTAATCTGAGTCCTGCAATCTCTCATCGTGAGCCAGCACCTCAACAGCCTTAAGACATCCACGCCGAATTATCAACAGAGCTTCATCAAAAGTGGGCTGGGGCTGAGAATCCACAGTCAAAAACACCAAGCCCAACACCGCTGGCCATGCATTTGTCGGTTGCGGTGAGCGAGATGTCGATGTCCCAACCTCAGCGCTCGCGACCGACACTTGTTGAACCCACCGAACAAACGTCTCAGTCACATCCTGTTAAGAGAACACAAAAGTTCCAAAAGGCATTCGGCTAGAGTGCAAAGGTTCTGGCTGGAGGCCAAACATCTCGCTCAGCACTCCTTTGCTGTCAAAATGCTAAATGCATATGTTTTTTCACGTGCAAACCATTGCCAAACGCTTTTGCGAATAGCCCACAAACCATCTCAAACACAGGGAAGAACGTTCGAAAATAAATGATATGGTCAAAACCAGGCAAAGCAAAAGAAAATCTTTGTGCAGTGGCCAAGCGCGCCCATAAATACCCAATTCGAAAGAGCCAAAGTGATCAAAATCCAAAAAATGGTGTAAGCGAACCAACAATAAAAAACATCATACGAATACAAGGCGCCTTTGATCTTTGATGGTCCCCAACTACTCATGCGACAAGAACATGCCAAGGAATTTGCCATGAACAAAACCGCTGCATCTGAAACTCTTCGGCGAAAGCCAATCTTGAGGAAAGTCAAAAGCAGCGTGTCCTGCCGACGTTGTAAACAAACGGGGCTGTTGGCTGCCACAAAAAGCACTAACCAAGCCCTGCCACTACAATCAACTGCGCTGCTCTCTTTCTTGCGTTAAAGTAAAGCTGCGCAGCAACAACGACGTTGACCAAAACGAGGACGATGAAAAAACAACAGCAGCACTTCGTTTGCTTTATATATATATATTTATTTATTTATGAATGCGTATATTTATATCTGCATATATGTGTGTGTATATATATATACATGCGAAAACCCCACGTGAACGCCATCCATCTCGGAGGACAGGTGGATCGATCGTTCAGCTGACATATCAGGGACTCTTGGCTGAAGCCTAGGAAAAGATGTGGCTGCCTGCCGACATCCAAAAAGGACTCAGTAAGGAAATCCCGCGCACCAATGCTGATCCAAAGTTGCAGAAACTGGTTGATGGATCCATCCAAGTTGACCGAGTGGAACACGATCCTGGATAAACGAGCTGTTCACATGCATACACTATGGTAAGAAAGCTGCTCGACCGAGAGAACTCCATCCAGATCGGTTCATTGGGAGTTGGTTCGTCATCGTCAGGAAACCCTTAGAGGAGAATCAGTCTGCGGATCCAATGGACCCCAATACCTTTCGTATTAAGAGTAGGTGGTGTTTGCAGGGCCACTTAGATCCAGATCTTGATGCCATCCCACACTTAGTCAGATCTCCCGTACCCTGTTGATGCAGCTGATATGTCCTCACAAGTGGGACTTGCAACTTGGTGACATCGTAAGTTCCGACACTTTTTCGCCGCTCAGTCAGCCGGGAGGAATTCCAGGACTTCCGCCCGACGCAGTGATCGAAGTGACAAGTCCCAAGGGCGCTTCCAACGACACACTGCTGCACGAAGGACAAATCACGGCGCTGAGGGCTATCAATGGAGGACTAAATTGGTTATCCTCGCGAAGCCGTCCTGACTTGGCTGTTCAGACTAGCATCTCACAACACCCGCCGGTCGAAATCTCAGAGATGTGAATAACGCCATCAGACGAGCTCGTCAGCACAAGGATCTGGAGATCACTTTTCAATTCATTCCACCAGAGAACTGGCGCGTTTGTGGCATTCGGATGCAGCTCGGACAAACCGAAGTGATCACACGCAAGCCGGATTTGTTTTAGGTTCACCGGCAAAAGTCTGGATGAATCAGCTGTTGCACCTTGGACGCCCTTCCTGTGGAAGAGCTACCATTTGTCTCGGGCCGCGAGTTCAACATTTGGCGCAGAAAGCCAAGCAATCAGTGGAATGGGCCGGATGGTTGATGCTGGACAGACGACGTCCCATATTGGCTACCGACTGTAAAAGTCATATGACCGCCTAGCGCCTCCTTCAGCGCCTACAGCTGTATATGATCGTCGCGCTAGTATTGATACCGTCGTCATCACCTGGGTATAATCCGATGGCCTTCCCACCAATCGAATGCTAGCTGATGGATTGACCAAAGATCAACCGGATCCCATCGACTTACTTCGTTCCTGTATCCGGTCGTCAACATACCAGATCTCGCCTGCTGAAAGCTTTGCGCTAGCCCAACAAGCAGCAGAACGAGATCGCCGTCGGCAAAATCGACACGAGACCACACGGACATGAGTCTCAAGTGGTAAAGCTCAGTGAATGCATGGGGGTAGTCAAGATAAGATACATAATAAGAATCAATGTGGGAGATTCGATGCATTGTGTGGTGTCTTGCTTTTGTCATGTGTCTTCATTGAAGGTAGTGCCACGAAATCGAATTTGATATGCGCAGTGCCATGAGCTGGCTAATGGAGAGCAGCAGGGCCCAGCGATCCCTGGAACAGAGCACATTCAAAAATTTTATGTCTTGAAAGATCGATTTATAGTCAGTGCGAAAACCACACGTGCGCGCCATCCATCTCAGAGGACAGGTGAATCGATCGTTTGGCTGACATGTCAGGGGCCCTCTGTTGAAGCCTAGGACAAGACGCCCTTTTGCACCGATAGGAGTCGGCTAGCAATGTTTCGACGTATATATGTCATATATATACATATATATATGCGTGTATGTCATCGATGGTGCTTGGCACGGTCGCGCGGTGGGGTGGATGCTAGATTAATGGAGCTTCGGTTTCGGTGGCGATATATAGAAAGAGAAAGAGAGAGAGGGAGAGTGAGAGAGAGAGAGAATATCATCCGCTGCCATTGTGGTTGGTAGGTTGCGCAACGGAAGGAAAAAAGGTTTGGGGGGCATGGAGCAAACTTGAAAATGTTTTGTTATCGGTTATAGCTGGAGTAGTTTCAGTACAGGTCAGCAACTTGTTCTGACAGGCCCAGGACGTTAAAAAAGCGCGCGTGTGATGTTGGTATCGGTATGTACCGGTAGGTCTGCCGACCTACGATGCAAAGTAGATTTTCCCAACCCAAGAACTCTGCTTTCCAGATCACTCAACAACTAAAAAATGCAAAACCCCGATGGATTTTCAACAAAACTTGTTCTTCAACGCACAAAAAATCCGAAACAACATGCCATCTACAAGCGCCGGACCTAGTTAGCAGGTTGTAGTTAATTGTAGAAGTAGTGGTAGTGGTAGTGGTAGTGGATGTTGCGTTTGTTGTAGTCGTAGTACTAGTACTAGTAGTAGTAGTAGTAGTAGTAGTAGTAGTAGCAGTAGTAGTAGGAGTAGTAGTAGTAGTAGTGGTAGTAGTAGTCGTCGTCGTCGTAGCAGTAGCAGTAGCAGTAGCAGTAGTAGGAGCAGCAGCGGCAATGCTTAGATGGGCTGTGGTCTTGCTAATAAGTTAACATAAGAGAACTTTATATAGAAATATAACTAGTTAGCATATAGTTAGCTAACTGTTTTCACCTACAAATTTTCAATGAAATTTAATTGTGAAAGCTGAAGGTGGAAGCCAGCCTCAACCAACTATGGCTACCAAAACAAGCTCTTCCAAGGCATGAGCCAAAGATGGCTGATGAGCATGAGCCAAAAAACGGCTAATGACTTCCCACATGAAACCCGCAAAGCTTTGACCTTTCTTTTTGGCGTCTGCTGGCAGCTGTATTTAGAATACAGGCTCAGGCTTTGTGACCCATTGCGACAGCACCCTGAAGCATTTGGAAACTTTGCTCCAAAGACAAGGCATTTTGATGTCTTGCAAGTGGATGAAGCACATCTGTCCACCATCACTGTAGATCATGGCATTGGTGTCAAGATCTTTTCCCACCACCTCCATCAAGTTGACCAAGGCCAGCTGCATCCCCCCAACAAGAAAGAATCCATGGGTGAAAGCAGCCCTGTTGTCTGCAAGGAGGACAAGATCCCCTTTGCTACAAAGGCCACAAGGAACTTTGGCCTTGGAGCTGTGAAGAACTTTGTCCAATGCAAGGCTTGCGCCAAAGGCTGAAGCAACCTGACCCAAAAGCCTCTTGCTTGGAGGATGAGCTTCTATCAAGAATGGCCCTTCCTCAAAGCTATCAACTTCCACCAAATCATGAATCTCCGGGGCCACCATCTCTTCCATCATGCTCTTCTCAAAAGCAGAAGTATTCACGCAGAAGCAAGAGCAAAGTTTGCCAAACCGCTAAGGATAGCGCAGCTGCCAATGAAATTTTGGTATCATAGCAGACGCCCAACCAGCTGAATGAAACAGCTCAAAGGGCCTCTCTATGGCTGCAAGAAGCCTTGTGGGAGTAGTCAAGCCAAGCAACTGCCCTTCTGTCAAGAGGGCCACAACATAAGCCTGCCCCAAAAAGGCTTTACAAACCACAGGTTCAACGTGCCTTTGCAACATTTGGAGGACCTGGTGCACCAGCACTGGGAGCAAGCTCAGAAGCTCTGAAGCCTCACACGTGAACTGGCCAGCTTTTCTATATTTCTTGACAGATTTTTCATTGAACAAATCTGAAATGTGCTTGCAATTCAATCATGCAGGAAAATTCCAGCATTCCAAACACTTGTGGAACAATGCCCATGCATCTCCAGGAAGCGCACTGAACAGGAGGAAAACAGACACACCTAAGGTTCCATTTGACGGGCACCCACGCATGTAATCATGGCAGTACTGTGTTGCTGGGCGCAACACATTGGCTGCTCTGAGCTCTGTATTCAAGAGAAGCATTTGTGTGTTGTAGATGACACCCACAGCTTTTTGCCATAGACCAAAGTCGACATTGCTGAGCACTGCTTTTCTCTGTTCCAACCTGTCAAAGGTGCCAAGAATCTCTTCATCTGAGGTGGTTGTACCCGAAGGCATGAGAAAGCTCTGCTGATTCAGGATCTTCCTCATCAGACACCTTCCTGGCAGTGACATTGCACAGAAGACAATACTTAAGCCCTGAATCGCCCGAAGCAATACTTGTGGCTGAAGCCATCTTGAATGAAAACACCAAGCTTGAAGAATAGCCTCACATTCCCAGCTTCAGAAAAAAGCAAAACTCCCAAGGCAGGAGAAAAATGCTGCTGGACAAAGATGCTCTGCAAGATGATTGAAATCACTTGTCCTATACCACCTTCTAGAGAGTTCACCACGTTGCTCCTCACATGAGAAAGGGTCAGCCAACTCAACCCTTCCTTTGGGCCTTGCCCAATACATTCCCAGGCACAATCTCATCTGCATGAAGCATGAGCAAGCATCTACACAGCTAGGTCGGTACAGGGAGTCTTGCTCAAGAGCTGGTGAAAGCTGCCCATGGCCTTACTTCTAGTAAGAAGGACGCTACTAGGGGCTCCTGGCATCGCTAGCTCCTGGCCTTACTTCTAGTAACAAGGACGCTACTAGGGTTGTGCATATAGTAAATGCAAATATGTTGCCAGGTTGGTGATTTCAAATTTCACTTTCTCACTATCTTTTGTAATGGCTTCTTGCCCAAGCAGAAGTGGTCCATAGCTGGTATTCTCAGATAAAGCAGCCTTTGTCGCCTTCTTGATCAACTTTCTGCTGCCCTGGCTTGGAACACCTTCCTTTCTCACATTGTTCAAAATAGATTCCAAGGCAGACTGCCTAACAAAAAGCGA